ATATAATAAATCCTTTATTGACCAAGCTAATGTTCGGTCAAGATGGCTGGATATTGGCCTCTTCTTTTTTTTCGCGAGTTCATGGACCTCGAATCCATCTCGGTCCATAAACACGCAAAAAAAGAACAAGGCCAATATCCAGCCATCTTGGCCTTACACTTGGTCAATAACCCATATATTGCTCAAGGTTGATAATGATGACGGCTTCGGGAGGATTCTAAACTTACACCGTGAAAAGGGGTGTCATTGATTCTGCCTGCTGGTTTTCGTTTTAAGGAGGCAAGCAATAATTGTTTCAACTGGAGAGAATTGCAACTTGAAGTCAACCCAGTGGCAACGACTCTCCGTTGGCTGATCATTAAAGCGAATCACAGTAACATACGGTAGTGATTGACTGTGGGCAAAGCATACTTGTCCTTTAATTTGAAGCTGTCTTCCGCTCATTTTGTCGGAACGTCAGTCACCGTCTACAGTTCTTTTCAGGACTACCTTCGCCCGGACGATCACACAAGACGAATTACTGATACTCCTGAGTTCAAACCATCACTTCATTACAAATTGATCTGAGCCCGCCGTGCATGCAGGATGTAAATAGGCCTTATAGTTTACGAGTACAGCTGTAGTATCTTATTTTGCTGTTTTTATCCAACTTGATACACTTAGTTAGTAGTCGAAGTGGCGGGTGTCGATACCTCAAGTTTTACGGGTAATTTCTGAATACACCCAGGTAATATCCGAGAATTATCTTGCCCATTGAACATTACTTGATTTTGTTTTGATCCAAACTGCAAGCATTTTTGTATTGCCAGTTCTTTTGTCGTACAAAAATTCTCAAAGTATTAAATACTGCTATAATTTACAAAGGTCTAGAATCGTCGGTTTGATACCGTCTCGGCCGGATCATTTGTGTGTAATCATGTCTGGTATGAATTTTGTTTTTAGACAAATAATGAGACGTAAGGCCAAGTTCAAACGCCGTACTTTACATGAGCCGAATCGAATGTAAATGAGAAAAATCCTTTGTTCTCCCTCATTAGCATTCGATTCGGCTCATGTGAAGTACGGCGTCTGAACCGGGCATAATCCATCCAGGTAAATAACATGCATGCCGCGAGGGAAAACTGCACGACGAACCGACTTTAGATCAGAAGATCGGATTTTGCCTCAATTGATTAATCGCTTTAGAACTGAGTTTATAAAAGACCGTAACTAAAGATAGTCATCCGCCATTTGTCGGTCTCAGACGGCTTATCCGCTTGAGACAGATGGATTATTTTTAAACTCTAGTGTAAATAATTATGTTGGACCAAATTTGCGCAAAATGACCAAAACAGAAACAACAAATAAATTCTTCTCCGTGAAAAATTATCTTTCGATACGATGTCACTTCCGCTAAGTAGGCCATGCCTTGGTAACAATTTCAAGAGGACGTAAGCCCGATTTTATTTTCACCGAAACATTAATTGCTTTAGAGGTGAATGTGTTAGAAGGAGAAGCATACTTCCATCATTCCTCATCATCGCAATAAAAGCTGGGGCGAAAAGGATTAATCGTGTTCTGCTATCGGATTTGCCAGGAAGAATATTACAGGCCAACCTTTTTTAATAATTATTCAGGGCACCTGATTTTAGCTTTATTTTTCTTGTTAAATAAGAATTTATTTAGTTATTTTATTGCTCAGACTTCTAAACCAGAAAGGTTTAACAAACCTTTCAGTCCGGTAGGGAAATTCTCCATTTTAAGTTCATCATACTGCAGATTATGCTGGTCTTTGCGTTCCAGGACGGATTTTCTATACAAGAGATGTGGTCTACCAGGTCTCGTCCAACCGCGATGAAGTACAAGGCTTGAGTTTAACACGGGCTCGATGTAAATCGTGTCATTTCCTAAATCTATGATTCCAGCCTTAGAACAAAAAGAAAACAATTTCATTCTAGGATAAAAAAAATTCTTGTATGTATTTCGGCACTGTCAATCTGCGATACGGAGCGTGACTTGAACGGCGGAAGCGGGTGGGAGGGGGAGGGGGGGGGGGAGGGTGCGCTACAGCGGAAGATCTTAGCAGAGTGATTCGTACTTTAGAAAGTCGGCGATGGAAATGTAGATAGGTTAACTTTTAGCTAAATCACTTTATAAAAGACTTGACATAGCTGTTGATCGGAACCAGACATAGCGGGACAAAAATTTCTGACATCCAAGATAGATTGATTCACTTGACTTGTACAATACTAATGAGCCTGCGGTACTAGCTTCCAGAGGAGTTATGATGTAACGCGCACGCGTAAAACAGAGTAAGCAGCACTTACCAGTCCATCACAGTCACTTATGGCCACGCTGGTATGAAACGATTCTGTCTCGCCCACAAGGTAACAGTGAACGTCTGTGGAGACTTTTCTCTCAATTGTTCCATCCTCTTTATACCGCTCGATTGTAAAGTCCGATCCGAAAAGCTTCGTGTTTACTCTTAGTATCATTTTGATGGTCTTTCCTTTGAATTGGACCTGTTAAAAATAGAAAAGAGATTTACACAGAATGTTAAATAGAACGCTTTCCAGTTTCACTAGCGCTATAAAAGAACATCAGAAAGAGTGGTCTCGACGTAAATAACGCTACGGATAGCATTCCATTTCTAGTTCCTTCTGCTCCAGTATTTCTGCTACTCACATTTGGTGGTCGAACTAGAGTTCGTGCAAACATATATATTTTTTTTTTCAATTGAATCTGAACATTACATGATTGCTCTCCTTCAATGTTGACCCTTCAGAGAGGCATTTTTGTGATATTTGCTGAAGGCAAACTGCACAGGAACAAGTTTTCCTTCACAAGTTTTAAAACAGACACGTTATATTTACTCGTACGTACCGCTTGTACTGACGACGAAAGTAGGACACGTCATAAGTCACAAAACTTAGGAGGAGCTACAAGTTTTTCAGAATCTTCGTTTTGTGATATTCCGCTGCATATAGAGTATTTCAGCATCAACGAGACTTATTAATGGAATTTTTTAAATTTACGCAAAGAAGCAACAGTAACCCAAACCTTACTGAAGATAACTTGCTGCTCGTTCCCAGAGAAAATATATTCTTTAACAAGGGAATCTGCAAGGGGGTTCTTGTTATTTCGGGTATCAGTTAAATTTTCGGCGAGTTCTCAGCAGTCAGTGAATTTTGCTGATCTCAGATTTGAACTATCAGTTGAAAATTTCATTCATGTCATTTTTTTAGCTGAAAGTTACAATAATTATGACCAGTTCTCAGCTAGCGGTTAATAAGCCCATCCAGACTCCCTAAAACATTGTAATACCTGATAGATTATTGGCCCAGCCTCCTCAGTTACGCTCCGCCGACGACGCCGATGACTGGAAAGGGTAGTCACGTGGTCGGTCACCTGACCACGGTGATCTAACTCAGTCGGGTAAGTTATATCAAACTCTCCTAGAGAGTTGATCAGATGTTCTGTGAAATAAATCAAAACATTATTGGGAAAGACCTCAAAGGTGCAGACTTATTCAAAATCAGTGTAGCACCAAGGACCCGGTTGTTTGTAAGTCGATTAATTTTACCTTGGGATCAAATACAATTTAGATTAGACTTAAAATACAGATATTTTCAAAAAATGTAGAACCGTCAAGAAGATGCCGAAATCAGTGTTGTTAGAAATTGAATTCAAAGCGAATATGATTCTGGAATGGACTTTGAAATGTATGGTACTCGATCGTTGATCACTTCAACGTATTAAGAACTTCTTTTTTTCACACAATTCAACTGAGTCTGATACGTGCCTGAGAGGGAAGATTTCCCTGGGACACGGGGTTAGTGGTAATGAAAAGGGCCCTCATCCCCAGTCGATCGAGTAAGCATATTTGCCTCTGATTCGTCTCTAGTCTTCTCTCATCAAATCGTTGTAAGACGCGGGGTGTGATGGGAAGAATCCCCTCGTCAAAATAATTCAGTTGGATCTTCGCTTATTCCAACTCCTCAACGCCACTCCTCTTGTATTTGCCCATGTTTTAACAGTCATGTACTTCGAACTCGTTTCTTTAGAGCTCCTCGCTATTTCGAACTGTTTTATTCTAAATTCCATCGCGATTAACATCATCATGACATCAGACCAAGTGAGAATTATCACTGCTGGAACTTTACAATTTGGCTTTTTGGGACCTCATAATTAACTTCGTCCTTGGGTGTTATATTCCGGCCCTTCCATTATGTTGATAACGTATAACACTAAAAGTAATTGTTATTTCCGCTATTTCGAAGCATTTTCCTTGCCCCCTTAGAGTTTGAAATTGTGGGGTTCAAATGAAGCGACATTGTGGAAGGTCGCCTGTGTACACAAGCTACCCAGTTGAAGGTTTTCAACATTTTTCGCAACATATTATTAAAGTGTATTTCACGTGTGAATAGTTCTTTAATGGTGATATCAAAGAAGGATAGTCCAAGAAGGCGGGGGTGCGCAGGTGGGGAGGGAGCGTGGGTGGGAAGGGTGCGCGGGTGGCGAGGGTGCGTGGGTGGCGAGGGAGCGTAGGTGGGGAGGGTGCGTGGGTGGGGAAGGTAGGTAGGTGGGGAGAGAGTGTGGGTTAGGAAGGCGAGGAAAGGCGTGTATCCGTGTTGACAATGATCACGTGATCTAATGATCTAAATGATCTAAATGATCTAAAACACCAGAAGACGTGAAATTTGCGTTCGAGTTTGTACGATGAGCTAGAATACTTAACTACATCAAGAAGGGAGGTAATAAATACTTAACACTAGGTAATAACTGGATTTACTAATAATCAAACACGTACAATGATCCGGATTTTTCAGGAACATTGGAAGTACTTATTCTTGCTCTGGATTCCTCAGGACATATTTTGCAAGTGGCGAAAATTAAATTAGCTTTGACCCGGAAATGGTGTACTTAAATAGTAATCAACTAAATTGGTCGTCTGTGTTCATGGCCCTCTCCATTAATATATAACAGCTGAACGTAAACGATGAGTGACAACTTCCTGAGACACGCGAATATCTCTGTAATCGGAGAAATACAGATTTCCTCTACGATAATAATTAGCATGGGGTCCGTTAAAGGGTCAAATTTGTTCTCAATCCCAGGTACCGGAGAATTTTATGAACGAGGAAAATTAAACGTTGCTTCTGTCAAATACACTTTGTACACTGAAGTGAGAGTACTAGATTTCTGATACCTTCTGTTGTGTTAAATTGATTTAAGGAAGAGAGCACAAGGCACAAAATCAGTGGCAAGTTTTTTCCGTTTTCCGTGATTTTTCTGGAATCTGCAGCGTCATTGCAGGCGTAAGCACACTGAAAAATGTTAATGTGAGCGGGGATGACCCACTCAAGCATAGCCAAATTATCATTGAGAATTCACGTAAATTTTAGTGGTCTTTAGTTCTGCTATCACCTTGATCGGCGGCGATGCAAATGAATCTGGATGCAGATCTTAACATCTAGCAGGACAGACAATGAGTTTTTCGTACTTAACAGTAAATCTTTGTCCTATCTCAGAGCTAAAAATCAAACAAAGCCTCGCTCGATTTGGTGATATCGCAGCCATTGGATTAAACTCAGGAGTCGTACAACTATCTACATGCAATTTCTGCATACAAAATTAAGATAAAAAGCATATTACATATTTTTTTCTTTGTTTAGATAGCACTGTATGTTAATGTAAAGCCAAATATGTAGCAAAGTAATGATAGTTAACGTCAAGCATGATACGATATCATAAATAAGTAATTCGAACTCGGTTATTTTCGGAAATCCCTGTTATTTCGAACTCTGAACTATTTCCCTTGGATTTTCCTTCAGTCATTTAGGGTATGGACCACCCTAATTAACTTAGTGTTAGCTTGGTGATATCCTCTGTAAATATTGTTTTTATTATTATTGTTTATCTAGTAAGTTGTGCTAATATAGTGGAACCCCTCCATACGGACCGTCCCGTTAAAACGACCACCCCTTTATTACGACCACTTTCTTTATGGCCCGAGCAAAAGCCCACACATTCTCCTATCTGAAAACCCCGTTAATCCGACCACCCCGTTATTACGACTAACGACCACCTTTTGGAGTGCGCAGTCTTTATTTTCTTTATAAAAGTATCCCGTTAGTACGACCGGTTAAATTGACTGGTGAGGAAGCTGAATGACGACAGACACAATCTGACAAATAACGGCTCTAACGGACACTTCACAAGAGGCCATATCCTGTTGAGAAACTGAAAGACGTCATTGTTTTTTCGCATTACATGTACTAGGTTTTGTCCAGTTGCAATGAATTGCTGTTGTAAGGTTAAAGAATAATTGTAAAAAGGTTGATTTATAGCGGAATTAAAGGTATTCATGTGCGTGTTGCACCATAATGCCGTGACCCTACCTCGTTAACACGACCACCCCGTAATACGACAAATTTTTCATAGCCCGAAGGTGGTCACATTAACGGGGTTCCACTGTACTGTTAAATTGTGAACTGTGTTTACTTAGTTCTGTAAGTAGAGTAAGTATCACAAGCAATGTGCTTTTAGAAGCTATTCCATTATTGCAAGTAATGTTGCTAATGAAGGTAATATTTGTATTGCAAGCAACGTTACTGTTGCATTTAAACAAAAAATCTTTGAACTGATATCCCAAACCAGACTAGTATCGACTACTGTTTGTTAATACCTTGAGCTTGTGCCAAGATATGATTGTGCCTATGACAGCGCTCTAATCTTTGGTTCTACCTATTCGTGTATCAATTTATCTTTCGATCTGTTTATTTATTTATTCATTTATTTACTTGTTTGTTTATTTATTTATTTATTTATTTATCTACTTATTTTCTCGCATCATTAACAGTACATGCAAGAACAAGCCTAATGTAAAAGCGAAGGGTAAATAGGTTATCTATCTCTGAGGCGGGTCTTATCTTGCTACTTTGATAATAATGACAGTGAGGATTATAAACCTGACTTGTATAACTTCACGATCAACTTATGCCTTTTATATGGCGATCTAACCCTGCACGGCACAGTGAACACTTAGAAAGCAAAGTCAAAGCGGCGACCTGACCAAGAACAAAAGACTAACAGCTGTCGCCCACAGTCGCTGTCCACAGTCAGAAAAAAGGTTATAGTTTTTACAGTCCAGCCAGAGAAAGACAAATTTATCTATATCATCTATCAAATCAATCTATAGCTTTCCACCTAACCTCAACCTGACAGCTTGCCACCAAACTCCGATAAATTACACATGTAAAGTTGATTTCTAATGGTTTCTAAACGACTGAACCACGAAAATACACGCACACCCGAGCTAACGCCAAGCCCGGGAAAACGAGCCCGAATATTGAGTCGATGGTGCGAGCTTTTACATGTAAACTGAATCACAGTGCACAGTCAAGCAAAACTCATATGCAAAACCAAAGGAATCAGTGAACTAATACAATGAATCAATCAGAACTCGCAGCGACGTAGCTAGGGGGTCCTGCGATTCCCGTGACCCCCCCCCCCCTTATGTAGTTTTTTTTTTTTTAAGCAAACAACTGAAAACGCAGGAAAACGCGCAGAGCCACGACTGATTGAAAAAAAAGCATGTTAGCTCTGATTGGCCAAGGGAAGTTGAGGAATTTTTAAACGATTAATGGTCGAGTTCATTTAATTTAAGGCAAAAGTTCTTATTATAGAGCCTAAACTCTCTAAAAAGATGATAGGTGGTTATAAGTTGAGCTACAAGCAAAGCTTGCGTGCAGACGGTCAATTTCCTCTCTTACTCTGATAAGAAACAAACAAACAAAAAAAAAAACCTTGTGACAAAGAGGGTCAATGAGGCTCACTGTGAGTTAGCCGCGATTTGCCCACCTCACCGCCGGAAATGGTAATACAAACTAGACTATACTCAGGCTGTGTCACGGTTTCCGCATCTTGAAAAGTTACGTTTAGCCTAAATTCTTCAAGTTCGTCGTTTGTAATCCGTGTCAGTCTTTTCCATCCTTAACCATCCTCGTTCCTTTATGGTTTATTATTATCTCTTTGGTGTTCTTCTATCTTACTGTAAACTATTATTTTCAGCTACGTTTCCTCCAATCAGTTTTTAAAATGTAATTTTTGCGTGGCCAAAACTGATACGGTAAATGAAGGAGTTCCTTTAATGTTTAAAACCATGGAAACGAGGGATATCATGTTCAGTCTCCTGACATCTTGCAAAATTGCGGGAAGATCACCACAGAGCGGAAATATCTTCAAGTAACACTAAGGAGAGATGGTTTAAAAATCGTCCTGGAGGGGCGAACCTTCTTTGAAGATCTCAGATTGAGTCTTGCACGATTTTAGACTTGGAAAACTAATGAAACACAGAAAAATGAGATTCGTCGAAGAGGCTTCCGAGATCTCGAAATCAAATCAAACGTTTCTGAGACCCAAGAAGTTCCAGGTTCCAATCGCCAACTCCATGGTAGCCTGTCAAAGTAGGTGGTATCGGAAAGGAAATTTGCCTTGATGAAAACAGGCAGGTAACATCTTGTCCAGCAACTCCCGGCGATAATTTTTTTCATGCAATCTCCAACGCAACACTTCGTTTACAGACGAATTGTAAGAAAACATTAACACGCTTCCACTGGGATTGGACATGTAACCGTGACTGCAAAATTTTGAAAAGTGCAAGATTGTTTTTCTCAGCTCGTCTCGCAACGCACAAGCTGAGAGTTTGCTGACCTCGAAGGGTCAAGAGACCCAAAGGGACGGATAAATTATGAGAGTCTGGCTTTTTTATTGATCTTGGTGGAAGATTCAAACGAGTTGGATTCGTGCAGAGCCGAACTCCCATTCCAAATACGCACACCGTTTTTAAGGCGTTAAATTTCATTGAACATAAAAGGTAATTTCTACTCGTATTATCTCATCGATATTATGTAACCATGACCTTGAAAAAGAGCAAATTTAATTTTTCTCTTTTTGTTAACTTGATATGGAACTTCGCCAAAAAGGAAAGGCAACCCGTTTCACATGGTTCTAGTTCAACATCTTTCAGCTGCAACTTTTGCAAACAGGCTGAGATTTCAAACCGACAAGGGCAACTCTTTAAATTGCGACCTTTGCTATCAGAATGTATAGAATGCACATGCACTTAGAAATAAATTGACCAAGGTATCCGTTGCTTTGCGTGTTTCCAAAAAATTCCAAAATTTAGCTGTCGACGCTAATTAGGAACGGCTATGGTATACTAGGTAGTCTGCCTCAGTAACAAATATAATGGACGAGGAAAATCAGCAACACTCCCTCAGTGTTACCGGATTGGTTTCTTGAAAGAAATTTACGTGCCTCAGCGTCGTTCGAATACACCTACATTACGTAAAGAAATTCGTGTTGTAGTTGTAATATCAATTAATATGATCGTCACAAAATAACCCATCTTTGACCTTTCGTACCACTGCTTTCAAGAAAGTGACAGAATGCCTTGATTCCATGTTATTATCCCAGCATTGTCAATACTGGCCGTGTTATTGACGAGATGAAATTTAATGTTCAACCACTTAGCTAAAGTAGCGAAAGACAAACCGACAATAAACAGTTCCTCTTTGTTTCTCAGTGGAACCGTAACGTGATTTCCGTGAAGCGCATCGAGTGATACGAGGCGTGTTATCCAAAAACTGATGGTTGATTTCAGTCTGCCAACTTGTAGTGTTATGTTTGCTAAATTAATAGTTTGCGACCTGAATCGACCACCGTCCTAACTTCCTACAACTGCGACACTTGGGGTGAGGTTTCCTGAGTGCTGTAATCAATGAGTGTAGCGAAGGATCTGGTTGACAGCGACATCTTCTAGTTTGCCGTGTTTGCTGCTGCAGCGTTTTTGCAACAAATACAGCAGAAATAATTGTTAATACGGTATTTGCACTAATCGGATTCTATGAAGATTCCAGACCTTCCAGATTATTGTTGTATACCTTGGGCTAACGTGAATCCGATCGGGAAGATTTGTGACGGCTTGATAAAATTTTAGCGACCGACTTGAATAACCTTACCTTGCTTTTCTTCTGCGCTGCGATGATTCATTTTGCCCTGGGAATTATAGAAAAAACACGACGTTAAAAAGGGTCGCCAAATTGCTGACCGACCCAACGGTAGGAGAAAATTGCACGCATCTTCTTTGCGCTGAAAAATGTTTATCGTAAGGTAGGATGGATTAGTACTTACCGTCTTATAGTAGCCTGCTTCGGTCCATGTACACAAACAGAGGAGTGACCAAATCACGATGAAGTCCCACGTACTACAAGATATCATCGCTACGGAGCTTCCTCTAGAGCTCATAAAACCAGTCTCACGAGAATTTGCCGAGATTTCGAGCAATTATCTGTGACTCGCCGTCGGTCTGCCAAATCTGTATTTAAACAACGCTGAAGGCCACTGAATGACGTCACATCCGCCGTTCTCCATCCGTTGTGGCACGTAATTGGTTAATATGTCGTGATGAAATAAAAATCTGCCAACAGATGCGGCATAGCTAGTCGACGCCAAAAAAAATCATCACTCAACATGTGTGAAACGGTGCTCGTTGGTTACTTTATTTGATTTGATCACGTTTATTGGAGAAAAACGGATGTAACCAAGAAAACAGGCTTTGGGTCTCCATAGAATTATCTGTGTATGATGAGTGGGAAGTGTTGAATCTTACAGAGCAGGAGATATAAAGTGGATAGAGTTTGCTTGTTTAGGTCAAGAACATTGGAGAATTTTCCGGTAGACTTTGCCAATGTATAAAGAGCAAACTGAAATGGGGTTTTATACCATATTAGATGGCTTTTAGGCCAAAGCGTTGAAGCACATACCGTTTATGGGAATTTAGGCGGCGACTCAAAAGAAGGAGTGGATCAGTCGCCCAGAGGGCAAGTGGCTGAGTCGGAAGGAGCTGAAAGGGTCTGCAGTCGGCCTCCGTTGGATGTGGAAAGGAGGCGTGTTAAGAGGATTTAGAAACTGACTGTAGGTTGGGAATGCCTCCGGTAGGCCAACGAGCCGGAATTCTGCCATGGCAACATAGCACAGCATCAAGAAAGAATGAGGTCATCCTAGTTCTCTTGACAGCATAGCATAGCTTTCATACAATGTACTGGGTCATGGTTGTAGGGTATTGACAGGGCCCGTCTGCAGTTAACTGAAAAATAACATTTTTTTTCATAATAGGCCACGTTCGATATATCAATATTCTAACATGGCTCCGAGGCTTTCAGGACAAAATTGCGATTTTTCTAAGTTTCTTTTGTCCCTCATTTACCAAAAGAGACTTGGATACAAAGAAAACACAACCAAATATAGAAGAGTTTGTCCTGAAAGCCTCGGTGCCATGTTAGAATATTGATATATTGAACGTACTCTATAGTGAAAGAAGAAAAATCCCTCCCTCGGCCGGGATACACTTTGGTCATAGGGTCACTAACCAAAAAATATTCCTTGTTCCCTTAAAAAAAATTGATGACGTCCCGTAATTGCTCCCCTAGCCCTCTGGGAGGCCCTTATTCTTTGAAAAGCGCATGACAAGCAATATATCCCCTCTGCTACTAAGCAGAACAACAACAAGGATTTTTAGGCTAGAAATAAAAGAAAAAAATAGGTTTGTTCAATTAAATAATATTGAAAAACGTTCTTTGAAACAAAGTTCTATAAAGTACATCAGAGCAAGCTAACTTATTCGTGAGCGGCAACAATGAGATATGGTGAAAGTTTATTAACCCCAGATGATAACTCGGATAATAACTCTTTCACTCTACGTGTAGGCTACCTCATGTAAACTTCTGATTTGCATCGGCGGAAGTTATAGATGAGGCTCTCATGATCATTGTAAGGGGCAAAATTTTAACGGAAGCTCGGCATGTCGCTGTCCGAATTTCGTCTCAAAGACTGACCGTAACTAAGGGCAGGCATTTCTCAGTCATTAAGCTAAAAGTGTTTTATTTCAGTCGCCAATTCTCGCCCTTCGCTGACATAACATTCTCAGCTAACGAAACTGATTCCCAAACGAAAAAGAATTTACAACCTCTACAGGCAATAATTTTTCGGGTTTTGGATCGCTGCAGTGTACAGCGCATCGTCAGTTTTGAAAGGTTACTATGCACTGATCTTGTTAACTCATGACGTCTGGGCTTATCATAAAAGTCATAAAAGTATACCTTGCAAACAATTTTGACAACGTACTTTCTTCGGGCGGCTTTCCATTTTCTTGCTACAGTATATGCCACTGTGCTTGATCAGAATGTGAGGATATGGACAGAGGCACTGCATGGAATCAAATGCAAATCTCAGATCTCGGCTATCAGTTCATTATAAAAAAAATGTAGTTTCTCTGGTGAAAGCAACTAGGCTGCCAGTTATAAACTCAGGCGGTTTGAACAATTCTCAGCAATGATAGTTTCACGACTCGCGGCGCACGAGTGAGATGTAACTTTAGCCCATTTGGTTCCATTGTTTATGAAACAATCCAAACAGAAGCGATCAGTCGCAAAAAGGTTGAGATAGAGGTGATTTTTGCATGTACCGACTCCCAAGCACAACTCAGTTCCATTGCTTATACCAAACAGATTCGACTAGATATCTCGTGCGTGTGTAGGCTCGATTACCAGCCGC